ACTGAAATCTTTCAAGAAATTGAGGCGGCACAGGAGGCACTCACTTATCTATGCCAAGAAATTTGGAAGACAACTATCTGGCCAACTGATTTGTGCCCATTCCAAAGAGAAGTGACCCAGTGAAATGTGGAAATCATCGAGAATATCTTTGATCTTCCACACAAGTAAAATTTTACTAAGGGTAACACAGAAATGGCTGCAATCATACATTGACAGTGAACGTTCAGAGGTTCAAGACAGATTCAATAGACATGGATCAAGGGCTATCACTACTGATGTCCAATGGATCTTGGATGAAAGCAGAGAATACCAGTGTTTTACTGACTAGGCAAAGGCTTTCGATTGGGTGGGTCATGACAAACTATGGACAACAATGCAAAGTATGAGTATTCCAGAACACTGAATTGTGCTCTGAGGAATCTGTACATGGACCAAGAAGCAGTTGTTCAAACAGAACATGGGAATACTGAATGGTTTAAAATTAAGAAAGGTATACGACAGGGTTGTATTCTTTCACCATACTTACTCAACCTGTATGCTGAGCAAATAATCCAAGAAGCTGGGTTCTATGAAGAAAACTGTGGCATCCGGATTGGAGGAATACTCATTAACAACGTGCAATATGCAGATGATACAACCTTGCTTGCTGAAAGTGAACAGGACTTAAAATATTTACTGATGAAGATCAAAGACCATAATCTTCAGTGTGATTGCATCTCAATGTAAAGAAAACAAAAATCCTCATCACTGAACCAATAAACATCATTCTTATCAATGGAGAAAGATGGAATTTGTCAAGGACTTCATTCTTCTTGGATCAACTATCAACAGTTATGGAAGCAGCAGTCAAGAAATCAAATGACATATTGTATTAGGAAAATCTATGGCACAAGACCTTTACAAAGTATTGAAGAGCAAAGATGTCAATAAGGTGCACCTGACTCAAGTCATGGTATTTTCAATAACCTCATATATATGCAAAAGCTGGACAGTGAATAAGGAACACTGTAGAAGAATTGATGCATTTGAGTTATGGTGTTGGAGAATGTGCCATGGGCTGCCAAAACACCCAACAGATCTGTGTTGGAAGAAGTGCAGCCAGAGTGTTCTATGGAGGCCAGGATGGCCAAACTTCGTCTCTCATACTTTGGATATGTTGTCAGAAGGGATCAGTCCCTGGAGAAGGATATCATGTTTGGCTGGGTAGAGGGCCAGAGAAAAAGAGGAAGACCCCCAGCAAGATGGATTGGCAAAGTGGCAGCATTAGTGGGCACAAGCATGGCAACAATTGTGAGGTTGGCCCAGGACCAGGCAGTGCTTTGTTCTGTTGTACATAGTGTCACTATGAGTCAGTACTGACTCGATAGCACCTGACAACAACAAATATATATTTATGTTTAAGTATATTTCATTGGTTCTGTTTCTTCTAGAGAATAAAAACTAACACATAATTATTGTTAATTCTCATGTATGTTTATTATGTTATGATTTCTTATTAAGGTAATACTTAGTTTTTAAAGATGTTGTTAAGATGTATAGAGTAATTTTATTCTTAGAATTGCTTAAAGATAGTGTGGGGAAGGCAAAGAGTATACAGCAAACATAAGCTGATAAGTGTTGAGCTTGCCTAATGGGGTTCATGACACAATTCTATGTACATTTGCATACGCTGGATATTTTCCATTATACAACTTTAAATAAAATACTCTAAGGTTCTTTCCAGCTCTAAACCTCTATAAATCTGCATTCAATTACTGTTGTATTCAATTAGAAGTGAACTAGATTCTCCCTGTGATACTTCTTAATTGCCATTTTGCCATGTTTTTGTTCATACTTCCTATTGCCTTTGTTGTTAAGTCTGTTCTGACTCCGAGTGACCCTGTATAAAGTTTCTGAGCAGTAGGTGGTAGGTTTGAACTGTCAATCTTGTGGTTTGTAATCCATGCTAATCTTACATTTCCACACCAGGAGTTATTATGTCCTATTTCTTTGACTGGGCGTGTGGTGACTCCACAGGCTAAGCACTGGACTGTGAATCACAAGGTCACTGGTTTGAGCCCACCAGTTACTCCACTGGAAACAGATGAGGCTTTCTGCTCTGGCCAAAGATTTAAAGCCTCAGAAACTCTATATAGGTCACTATGAGTTGAAACCAACTTCATAGCACTAAACAACAATTTATTTGACTACTCTATGACTAGTACTAGACAATGGTCTGAATTTGAACATTTTCTATTTCTTTTTTCTATCTAGCTAATAATTTCTTTTATTCTATTTAATAAACTGAGTCCTAGTGTTTGTGTGGCACTGTAGGGCAAGCACTTGATCATAAGGTCGGTTTGAATCACAAAGTCGTTGGTTCAAACCCATCAGCTGCTCCTCAGAAATCCTATACAGAGATGCTATGAGTGGTAACTGACTGAAAAGCACTTCACAAACAACAACATTTAGTAAATAATCAGGGTCCTGCTGTGGTGTTGTAACTATAAGCATGATTGCAAGGTTGGTTTGAACTGCAAGGTCAGTGGTTCAAACTCACCAGCTGCTCCTCAAAAACCCTATTCTCAGAACCGACTCAACAGCACTTAACAACAACAGTAAGTAATCTACAAGTGTTTGAGCAATGAATGAGAGAACCGAGGGCTCAAATCCAAATATCATTTCAAGTAAGTTAAGGCCACAAAACAAAACTTACTATAAAAATAAACCATTTAGAGTTCTTGACATGCATCATCTTGCAAACTTATACAGGTATTAAATTAAAATGTATCTGAGTATATATACAGCTAAGAACATTTATATTCTTCCTGAGAGAGATAGGCTTTCTTCACAATATTTCTTTTGACTCATTCAGGCATTTCAGAAATAAATTGTGAAACTGTTCACTATGCTGGTTGGAAAGAAAATCCAAAAGAACACTAATAAGCTTATTTCTCAGGGAGATGCAGCATGTAAATCAGTCTATTGCTGATATTTATGTACCAATTTTGCACACAAAATATTTAGCCTACTAGCATCTGCCACTGCCTCAGACAGATTCAGATCAGAAAGCCCGGTTTCTCCCCATGAATTTTAATAGAATGCACTCGCAGCTGAGAATTGGGCAACATTTCTTAGTTGAGATGAATGAGAAGACAGATTGTCCCCTTGAGTAACAGAAGGCAAAGTCTGCAAATGTGGCAATAGCCTGCCCTACCCCAACAACATCAGTATACTTACTCTCGATCTATAACTAGACAGGCGACATCATTTTCTTCAGCAATAATGTTAGCAGACCTGACATCATCACTGCAAAAAAAAAAACAGCAAAGGAAACTTTCACTACAGTTAGAAATTTAGCATCCATTGTTATTAAGAAACTGTGTTACTTTACATGAAGCACTATTACTTAATTCTCACAGATTGTTCTTTTTAACCACCTTAAATAATATTCATTCTCTTTCCCCCAAAAAAGGATTTGAAATGTGTTTAAATAATGGTTATGGACACAGGATTTAAGAGAAGAGGATAATTGTACTAGAACCACAGATGAATCAGTGAGTGCAACTGAATACAGAATCTAGTTTACAGCTCTTTCAGCTCAAATAAACTCGCTATCATCTGATTAAAAAAGAGAAAAATATTATTCAGTAATTAACTGCTCAAAGAAATCTATTGGAAGAAAATTGAACTAATGACAACTTGACCAATAATACACAACAAATACATTGTTTTTAGTACTATGTGACCCAATTCAATAAATACTAAATACATTTCTTTCATAGAGACTAGGAAGTATATTTTTCATTAAAACCACTGAAGTCAGAGCATGCATTATATTTAACAAGAAGCATTTTCTTTCTTTCTTGGAGGGAACATAATGTAAAGACGTATCTTTAACTTGATAAGCCATCACTCATATGTCAGATTGTAGTACTTTGGTGGCTGCTTGCGTATTGCTGTAATGCTAGAAGTTATGTCACAGATGTATTAAATACCATCAGGGTAAACTCATGTTGGACAAGTTCCAGTTGAACTTCTGGACTAAGATAGAGTAGGACTAAGGGGAGGCAGACTATGTTAGACTGTTTAGCCATGGAAAACCTTATGAATAGCAATGGAACACTGTCATATAGCATCAGAATATGATGAATAGCATGGCAATATTTTGAGATTTACTGCTGGAAGATGATTCCCTCAATTTGGTGGTGGTGGTGTGCCAAGGAGTAGGTTCCAACTCATTGCGACCCTGTATAGGGTTTTTGAGGCTGTACAGGGTCACTATGAGCCGGAAACGACTCCACGGCACATAACAACAACAACAACAAATCTTTATGGGAACAGAAAGCTTCATCATTCTTCCACAGTACAGCTGATAGTTTTGAACTGCTGACCTGGACATTAGCAAACTGACTCATAGCCACGATGCTACTAGAGCTCCTTTCCCTCAGTTTGGAAGGAATCAAAATACCACTGAGGAAAAGCTGCCTCCACAAAGCAGAGTTGATTGGGAGTCGTGTCATAACGAATGGAATATAGCCTTCATTTGCTGAAGGGGAACAATTCAAAATGAGTAAAAATAGCTGTAAGTATGCATCAATAATTGTAACATGGAAAGCACAAAGTAT